TATACAACTTAAAATGTGTCTTCGGATCAATGCGACTGATTTCGATGGAGCAGGTCACTTTGCATTAGGTAAAATACAGCAGGCAGACAGGAAGAATATGTACATTTTAACCCAATCAAATAGGACATTGTCACACCATTCAAATGTATCCATGTAAATTACAACCAATAAAAAAGCTTAGATTTGTTTATGTGTTACGTTGTTTACTTTATTTGTTACGTTGTTCTGTGTGTGTCAGCCGTTAACCAGATAGAAAGAATATACACTTGCAAACATGTCAGAAGAACCAGCGCAGAAGAAAACTAAATACAGTCAATCTAAACTTAAATTTAACAACTGGAAGATTTTAAAAACCACTGCAGGGTGGGTAAAGTGACCCATTCTCCCTATTGGTCGTCAATAATATACACCATTACAATGGGTGATCCAAGGCCCCACATTTGTTTACTCACAATTATATTGCTTTTTCAAAATTAAATTAGCTGTTTTTTAATTTAATTTTAATTTTAAACTCTACATTTTGGACGACAAACAACAGTTATTTCCCCATAAAAAGTTCTCCTGTAGTAATATATGCCACAATGGTGAAGCCAATACCTCAAATTGGCCTATATAAATAAATATTTGTCTGATCTTATAGAGATGTTACTAAAACTCTCCCTTTGAACTGATCAATACTGTAACAAATTAAAACACTACCAAATTCACACATGAATAAAAACTCTAAAAGAATAATTTGTAAACATGATGAAAAGATTGATTGTTGTTCTACAGTGTACAGAGTACAGTGTTCTACACTGTACTCCTGACTCCCAAACACCCACTACTTAAAGTGTAGTGCATACTTCCATCATGCCTCCCCCCTTTTCCATCAGTGTGTTTTAGGATGATTTTTCACTTCACTTTAATAGTTTTCCTCTTTACCGCTATTTTTAATTTACCAATTGATTAATTCATGGTTAATACATCTTCTTATCTTCACTTATTTATCAAGTCAATTCAAGTTCTTGAAATTTGGTTCTTTAAAATACATTAGTAGATACCTTGTGGAGTATTCACAATAACTAATCCTCTCATCTTTAAGCAGATACTATTTCCTTATTTATCTTTTGTTCATGATAACAATGGTATAACAACCACACGTTTTACCCATAGCTAGTTTCTATAACAAGATTATTATGTGTGACATAATAATCAGATGTCTTGTTTGCTAACCAAGAATATTAAACTTTAATCTTTTCAGTATTCCAGACCATCATTTAAACAAGCAGCCTCTTATCTAAACACTAAGCATGAAGGTTTCTACACCCCCCCCCCGGGAAACTCTTGCACAATTATGCTGTAAAATCATTGCATCATTCCTTCAGAGTCTGAACCATCTGAGGCAAGCATGTCTCAAGACCTTGTCATAATGAGCACAGTCAGTGATGCAGCTGTAGTCAGGGGCAGGGTCCCCCAAAAAGCTAGGACCGGCCCTGGTCAGTGGGCTCCAAGGAAACTCTCCCTGGCATTGGGATGAGGGAAGGAATCACTTGGCAGACACACGTTGTCCTCTGTACAGCAGAAATCCCCCCAAAACCGCAGTACCTCTTCACACCACTGTTGCCTTGGCAACGAGGCACAAGCAAAATGTCAATACCTCCTCAGAGATGCGTTCTTTGCACACTTCTTCTGTTTGCAGTGAGCAACTCCTCACCAACACACTGATTCAGAGAACCCAAAAGGTGGTGCAGGAATATCCAATGCTGCTGTAATCACATTCAGCTACTGAGAAAAACTCAATTTAAATCTCTCTCCCAACGGGTTACAAAATAAAACGGCTGAGGTCAGGAATGCTGAAACATGTGAATGTTAAAACAAACTAATGATAGTAGTCTGGCTATTCTTTATTACTTCAGTTCTAAGTTAATAGGCAAAACAAGGACACCCTCCCTAACCACTATACTAATCGTTTATCTACTTGGTTATTCTTATTCATTTTCAAATTGTTTATCTAAGTTGTGTTACAAGCAGGGTGAGGTTGTAACAGAATACACAAATAACTGTATTCAATCCGCGCCGTATTTGAAAACTGTAATGAATTAAAATCAATGTTTAAGGACGTAATATAAGTTAAATATATTGTTAAGCTAATCACTGTTTTATTGTGAAGGCATCTCTGGTGAACAGCGGCCTGTGGGACATTCCCTCGGTCACATCTCCACTTCTAACGCACACTCATCATATTTCCAGCTTCTCTTTAACAGACTGCTATTATTGATACAAAGTAATTAAACACACACATATTTTAGACATGTATCGTTCCAGCTACTTGACATTCTGTGTTTAGATAAGAATGTCTCTTTTCCCCACATCTTTAGTCTCCTGTCATGCAAACCTGCTCCTTATTTCACACAATTAATCACATTTAAGCCAACTACTGCACAATGTTGTGGCAATTTAGTACTCACAACCTGAAAGAATGAAACAGAAAGAAATCAATAAAAACACAAGCACCAGTATAATTGAGCAGTTATTATACAGCCAGGTGGCTACTGCAACACACACACACACACATTCTACTGTCTGCTGTCTTCCAGCTGTTTGCCCCGCTGTACCTGGCTGGGAAGTTTTCACTTCTCATCTCTCCAGCTTCTTGTTCATATAAACTGCTACTATTAAATACAAAGTAATTAAGTACACACATGAATATATAAAAACACACTTCTTATATATCAAGGGACATTAAAATGAATATACCAGAATTACACTGTATTAAACTTCCTGCTCTAACACGTTACTTCAATTTTCACACCTCTGTGTGTTCAGTGTTCACCTCTGTGTGTTCTGTGTTCACCTCTATGTGTGTGTTCAGTGTTCACCTCTGTGTGTTCTGTGTTCACCTCTGTGTGTTCTGTGTTCAGTGTTCACCTCTGTGTTCACCTCTATGTGTGTGTTCAGTGTTCACCTCTGTGTGTTCTGTGTTCACCTCTATGTGTGTGTTCAGTGTTCACCTCTGTGTGTTCTGTGTTCACCTCTGTGTGTTCTGTGTTCACCTCTGTGTGTTCTGTGTTCTGTGTTCACCTCTGTGTGTTCTGTGTTCACCTCTGTGTGTTCTGTGTTCACCTCTGTGTGTTCTGTGTTCACCTCTGTGTGTTCTGTGTTCACCTCTGTGTGTTCAGTGTTCACCTCTGTGTGTTCTGTGTTCACCTCTGTGTGTTCTGTGTTCACCTCTGTGTGTTCAGTGTTCACCTCTGTGTGTTCTGTGTTCACCTCTGTGTGTTCTGTGTTCACCTCTGTGTGTTCAGTGTTCACCTCTGTGTGTTCTGTGTTCACCTCTGTGTGTTCTGTGTTCAGTGTTCACCTCTGTGTTCACCTCTATGTGTGTGTTCAGTGTTCACCTCTGTGTGTTCTGTGTTCACCTCTATGTGTGTGTTCAGTGTTCACCTCTGTGTGTTCTGTGTTCACCTCTGTGTGTTCTGTGTTCACCTCTGTGTGTTCTGTGTTCACCTCTATGTGTGTGTTCAGTGTTCACCTCTGTGTGTGTGTTCAGTGTTCACCTATGTGTGTGTGTTCTGTGTTCACCTCTGTGTGTGTGTGTTCAGTGTTCACCTCTGTGTGTGTGTTCAGTGTTCACCTCTGTGTGTGTGTTCAGTGTTCACCTCTGTGTGTGTGTTCAGTGTTCACCTATGTGTGTGTGTTCAGTGTTCACCTCTGTGTGTGTGTTCAGTGTTCACCTCTGCACGTGTGTTCAGTGCCGTGTGTCTGGCAAATAAAGCCAAGACCCCTAAAAAATTACGGTTTATTTCATTTTAATGATGAGCACCAAGCAACATCTCCAGGTGCTCCTTTGAGAACCAGGGCAAACAAGTGATGTGCACCCCTGCCTATTATGCTGTTTTTAGGCAGATATCATCGGTCTCAGATATAAAAAAATACAAAGCGACTCACATACTCAATACTGTGGACAATCCCCACACGAGCAATTTGGGGTGAAGTGTCTCAGGTACGACATGCTGACTGCAGGGGTTTGAACCTGTGAGCCCCTGATCCGAACACCAATCCACTGCGCCACACGCCTCCAGGCAAGTGTGATCTGGTTAAAGGTAAAACATTTTTTATTTGGATTAGAAAGGTGTGAGTCCGGGGGATGTTTGACAGTGTCGGCTAAATATTTACTCAATGCCTTTTCTTTTAACCTGTCAAGCCCCGAGCTCGAAAATGACATTCGCAGAACAAATGACTATAAAACTATAAACTTCTAAAAAGGGGTACATTAATAATCTTTGTTCTCAAAGCAAGGTTACATCTGTGAGTAGAAAAGTCAGAATCAATATAGATGTTTTTATTTTAAAGTAAATTCAGATTGCACACAGTAAAAAAATGTAAATTATTGTGTCCGTCCAAAAGAAAACATGACTTATAGTGAAACCACCCTTGAATGATGGGATGGTAGACTAAAAGCTTTAGGAATCCAAACTACAACATATAATAAGTACCCTGTATCAAGATTGATGCAAAACAAGTGACATTTGACCTTTTTAGAGAGGTTTAGAAAAACAAAAAACACTTCTGGGGTCATTTGGGTGGATTTGCCGTTTCTCTGCCCCCCCTCGGTCGATTTTGATGATTGACACCTCTTTTTAACCGTCGGAGCCAATAGAATCGAGGAGAAGTTCCTAAATCCATCTAAACATTACCATTGGTGAATGAGTGATGCATAGCCAGAATGCCCAAAACCAGAAGCTGGGTTGTAGCTCTCATACACTCTATATGAGAACTCCGGTTATTGCCATAAATATGAAGATGGATTATCAGTAATCATTGGATTAACCTTCAGCAGTGTTTCTATCGTTTTAATGAGGCTATGACGGTATGACACATTCATAGGTTGTTAAGAAGCCCTGAGACACAGTTTCGTGAATATTGTGTTTTGCCCGCGGGGGTTTAACAGGGAACGAGCACACACACACATCCACTATATAAGTTCCCTCATCCACAGAGATTCTGCACCTTAAACTATGACGGAGGAAGAGTTATACACGGTGTACAAGGGGGTCTACGTGGTCTCATCTATGCACACGCCAGAGAGTCTGAAATACTTTGAAGAGTTTGCTTTTCGCCCAGATGATATCATCATCGTGACGTATCCCAAATCTGGTGAGTTGTAAGTGTTAGGTGTTGAATGTGTGCACCACTACTCAAGATACGTTTTTATTATTTGATTTGTGAAATAAATGTTAAATGAAAAGGAAGACATTTCCTGCTGCTTTGTATTTCTGTGAGAAGCCAGATGAGACAAGAGCAAGTCAAAATAATTCACAAGCACTGATATTTGTTGCCATTCGCACGATATGAGTCCTGATGCAGCAGTTCACCAAAGAGAGTTTCACAGGCAGTTAGGGAAAAGGCTCTATAACAATCTAACAATTCCAAATGTTGTTGATCACTGCTAAAACATAGCTATTTTCCGTCGTTCCTGTGACCTAGTGTCAGGGACGCGGCAAGTCAGTCAGAGTTGGGATTTCTTTTTTTAATATTGTAGTTAAAAGCATCAATCTGGTGTACTTTGAGAGCAGCATGAAGAGATCTGGATACATCTCTCAGCACCCAGATGAAACAGAACTGGAAGCAGATTTTCTTTTTCTTATATTTTACAAATCCCTCCCCTTTTAAACTGTATTCTTGTTTTGTCATATAGTATTTCATAACTGTATTTCATTTATTCTCTCTGGCTGTCAATAGGAATATCATTCAGAAGAATTATAATTTCATGCAAACATCTGTCACAAAAAGAGCTTGCACATTTAAATGCAGGTGTTGTTATGGCAACGTCAGTGGCATGTACTGCTACGTTCAAACATGCTGTCGACACGTAAAGCAGTGGCAACTATGCCACCATTTCAGATGACATTTTCTCAGAAATACTTTCACATAACATCCATATATTTCAATGCTAGGTTGATGCTTAGCTAAGCTAACTATGAGACACTTTAACTGACAGGACTCCGGATCAACTGTGTACTGTAAGGCAGCTTCTAGCTTCATGTCGAACAGTAAGTCAACATTTCCCAGAGAGCTTTCTTTGAAATCACCAGGTAACGCTAAAAAAACACAACATTTAGATTGTATGACAAAGTGTTTATTTAATATATCTGGCTAGCTATAGCTACTTGCTAACGGTTTAGCTTACCCCCGCGATTCAACGTCAACGTAGCTGTGGAATGTTTTCATGGTATTAACAATTCATGAGTAATTAACTAGTGGTTATCTTATTCTGAAGGCCGCATTTAATAATACAAGGCAATACAAGTAAACGAGTAAGGGGTGAGGTGAAAATGGGTATAATTTTACCTCACCCCAAGTTTTACAAGGGCTAATAAATACATATTTAACCAGTTAAGCCCGAAGGTCCCCCCAGTGGACCCCTCCCACCGTTTTTTTTTTCTCACATGTCTCAGGGCTTCTTAACATTTATGAAACTATTAATGTTTCATACCCTTTTAAAGGTAAGAAACTCCGCTAACTGACAATAAGAACAATTGTTCGCTAAGAAAAACACAAAAGTAATACCAAGCCTTTGAATTAGCATTGAGCGAAAAAATGCTAACTAATGCTAACGCTTTTTTACACACAACACACGGTAGAAATGCCCTTATTACTATCTTAACTGCACAAACAAGATATACGATTTAAAGCTGAGACTCCACAGATTCCACACATGTAATGTCATCACTGTCCGACCTCGAATTCCTGGAGCTATCAGCCAGAAAAGAGAAAGTAAACAACATCCGGTTCCAAAAATATTACAATAATTACGTCTTACCTTTTTTGATTTGTGATCAAAAGTTGTGTTCAACGGAATAAAAACGCATCTCAAGGTTAATCCAATGTCTTTGTGTCACGTAGACATTTTTTACTGATAATCAATCATCATATTTATGGCAATATACTCGGTATAAAGTTTTGCCGTCCAGGCTTGCACTTTCAGATATGCTTCGTTTGCTTCTCTATTACGTCCGCTATGGTAATGTTTACGTAGATTTGGGAACTGCCCATCGATTCTATTGGTTCTGATGGTTAAGAAAAAGGTGTAAATCACACGAATCGACCAATGGGTTCCAGAGATATGGTCCTGCGCAAATTATAAAGAATGGCAGCCAACTTAAGTACATTACGCAGCCCACTTCATTTATTGTTTACAGCGTAAAGAAGCAGGTATTGCAGCAGGACCCAGAGCGCACGGAGCACAGAGCGGACAGCAGATAACGGAATTGCAGTTTTATTGCTTATAGATTATCAGAACATTTCAAAGGGGACACAGCCCCCATTGGATATTAACCTATGGATTAACTACATCATCGTTTTTTATCGTTTTAATGCCATTGAAGACCAGTTTAGACCAGACAACGAGGAAGGTAAGTCATTGTTAGCCTAGCGCATTAGCCCTAGCGCCATTTGTTTTGATGTACGTTTTTGTTGATAACGTCGCGAGTTTGTATCTTTCAGTGTTGGGCTGTTCAGGTGGGCACCGTTAGATTCTGTGTCTCCTTGCGATCATAAACAATGTGTTGGATGTGCAGCTAGGATAAGTAATAAGGGAGCGAGGAGTGATTTTCGGTGCTGTAATAGGTTAGCATTTTTCGCTCGGGGCTAATTCAGAGGCTCACTGTAAGAGTAGGCCTATTTTTATTTTATTTTTATTTTATTTATTTTTTATCTTTTTTCACAACAGTTGTATTTGGATGGAATGAATACCTATAGTGATAATTCAAAGTAATAAAATGATTTTTACTGTGAAAAAGTTCAAATGGAACCGATGGTTCCCAAATTAATACCTCAGTTATGAACCTCAGAGCCCCATGACGCTGTTTACCATGGGGCTCTGAGGTTCATAACCAACTGTAAACCCCTCACACACCACTGCACGCTGTACGCTTTAGTCAACTGGACATCATTATCAATGCGCAGGTCACTGCACTGGTACAAACTCATCTATACCGCTATGCTTGGACTGCTGCCCCTCTACATATCCACTTACATATCACACAAACAGTACAGCTATAGACTAAGATCTCAACATTACATCACTCTGTCCGTCCCCTCAGTCCGCACGGTGCTTGGGAAAAAAGCCATATCGTACTCTGCCCCCTCGACCTGGAACACACTTCAGCAGGAACTTAAGCTGACCACTTTGATACCCATCACGGATTTTAAACTCATTTTAAAAAAGCTGGAGAAATCATCTGTGGGTGTTTGCACCTGCTATATCTGACTGCTGTATATGGATTTTAATGACTACTTTTTACGATGTTGTATTTTAGTGTTGCCCTCTGTGTTTAGTGTCCTGTCTGTCTGTAACTTTGTGTGGTAGTGTTACCACTGACAGGTCTCTCTTGAAAATGAGACCTTGTGTCTCAATGAGATCTACACCTGTATAAATAAAGGCTAAATTAAAAAATTAAAAAAATTACCCAGAGGTGAGTCCGCTTAGACTTTATTTTTCTAAATCTCTCTAAAAAGGTCAAATTTCACTTGTTTTGCATCAATCTTGTTATAGTTTGGATTCCTAAAGCTTTTAGTCTACTAACCCATCATGCAAGGGTGGTTTTCACTATAAGTAAAGGTTTTTTTAAAATAAAAAACATCTATATTGATTCTGACACTTCTACATCCAACTCACAGATGTAACCTTGCTTTGAGAAAAATAATTATTAATTTACCCCTTTTAGAAGTGAAGATATATCATTTGTTGTGTTAGTGGCATTTTCGAGCCTGAAACATGAAAAACAGGCTCAGGGCTTAAGAGGTTAAGAACATATTTTTTTGTTTAGGTACACACTGGATGAGGGAGATTGTCCCTCTGATCATGAGTGGAGGAGATCCAGCACCTGTTGACACGATTGTTACCTGGAAACGTGTTCCCTGGCTTGAATTGCAGCAGACCGCCTCCCTCGAACTTGAACAGAGGCCCTCTCCACGACTGTTGACTACACACTTCCAGTACAACATGATGCCACCATCTTTCTTTGAAATAAAGCCAAAGGTAAACCTATCAACTAAGGCGGATCAGATTCAATGTGATAAACGCATCACAGACAGTATGTGTGAAGGAAAGGGTCTGACGTCATGTCATCACTGCAGGTCATCTATGTGACGAGGAACCCCAAAGATGTGTTCACATCGTCTTTTCATCATCATGAGGCGGCTTCCGTCCTGGTGGACCCAGGCCCACAGACCCAGTTCCTCCACAAGTTCCTTGATGGAAAAGGTTTTTCTGATTTTATAGCTATGTAATGTTTAGAATGCGTTCATAACACCATACGTATCAGTGAGTGGGACGAAAACTCTTAAAAAACCTGTTACCTGGTAACATGATTCAAAGGGGACTTATCATGCACATCAGAGTTCCCGTTAGCCGGTAATTACCGGACTACGACCGGTAACATATGCTGAAGACCGGCAAATCTAAATCTCTCCGGTCAAAGTGTCCGTTCAAAATAATTTCCGTTTAGCGCAATACCACATCAGTTGCGCAACTTGCGCCATTTATGTGACAGACAAGAATAGTCAATTCTAATGTCTAACCTGTGTCTAACACGTAATGTGGAGAAAGAGATGTCCTGTCTGGGTTGATTGTGCGTTGATCTGTTGGTAATGCCTCGGGGTTCCGGTGGGCATGTAAACAAATGCATAATGCTGCGCTATACTTTGTGGCCTCACCCAGTTGCATAGCGACACTTATTGTGTAGGTGTCTTTTAATAAGCAGGTAGTCATATCATTAGCTAGAGCTAGCTGGATCTGATCGATATGGACATAAACGCGAGTCTAATCTGACGGGAGAGAGAGATCAGCTGCTGCTGACGAGTCGACACGCAGCTCTGCATGATCACATGCAGCGGTGAGCGGACAAAACACACTTCAGGTTAGAATATCACACGTAGCTATTTAATGACCTCTCAAACTACCGTAACTAGTTATAGATATGTTTAGTTTTACTGTCGGGTCACTCATTACTGATCCTCGAGCTGCATGATACTGACGGGCTGTCAGGAGAGGGAGAGAGCGCTCTGTTTATTATTCCCGTGTTATTATAAATTACTGTTCACTTTTGAATAATGTAGTTAATCTACTATAATTAGTTTAATATTGAATCATATCAATTTGTTTTAAAGCACAATAAATAACAAAGAAGACCTTTGACCGGCACTTTTCTCATTTCGTCCGGAAGATTTAAACTTTAACGGACATGTTGACCGGCGAAAAAATATTCTAACGGGAACTCTGATGCACATTCTCAATTGTGTTTTGGGATTTTACTAGCCCATGATTACGAACTTTAATGTTCAAAAAACACATTCTTGTTCTTATAAATTCTCTGAAAATGCTCATTTGAAGCACCTGTCTTTTTAAAGCAACCCAAAATACCAGCAAGAGTCAAATAGAGAAGACGGTCCATTCTTATACATTGTGGGTCGCTAGCACACCATGGATACATGTGTATCTTGCAAAGCCACTTAGTGCTTTTTGCATTATGTGTAGCCTTTAACAAGGGAGATCTTGAAAGGTTCAGTAAACAAACTAAGTTATGATAACCTCTTATGAAAGGAATACTTGTGTCTCCTGTTCCTTTCAGTTCTGTTTGGCTCGTGGTTTGATCATGTGAAGAGCTGGCTGAATGCTGCAGATGAAGAGCACATCATGCACATCTCCTATGAACAGATGATAATGGTGAGACTCAGGAACAATCCTCAAATCTGCCTCAAATCACTTTTCCAAATATTTCCCCAATAGTTCTGACCATGATTTAGCAATCATCTTCAAACTCCTCCTACTAAGATAGTGTATACTGGGAGAGCCGCTGCAGGACTATGAGCGTATCTTTGTTTCTCTTTAGGACCTGAAGGACTCTGTGGGCAACATGGCTCAGTTCCTGCAGAAACCTCTGGACCATGAAGCGATAGAGAAGATAGCCGACCGATGTTTGTTCAAGAACATGAAGAAGAACAACATGTCAAACCTCTCTACTGTTCCTCGTGAATTAATAGACCAGACAAAGTCTGAGTTTCTCAGGAAAGGTGAGTGTCATTAAATAATACATACAGTACAAAAGGTTTGGCTGTTAGTAAGAACTGAATTGAATATCATAGACAAAGCACTTCTACGATGTAGCGCAAACTCGTGGTCAACTGACCCTTGTTGAGTCTATCTTTATATAACATTACAAGGTTGATTGTTATTATTACATGATATGCTTATTGTGCTCATGAGATGTTGCTATGACTATGGAATAAATAGACATAATCACAAATCCCAGGTTCTGATGGGTTGGATACGAAACGAAGGGAAAAGTCATAGACAGTTTCAGCTTGCAATAGGAATGTAGCAAAGACCAGGTGCAGACACTGGGAGAAGACAAAGAGTTATTGAGGAGAGGAGATCGCTCTGACCATGTGTGTGTGCTCAACGCCTACGCTTAACTGGAAATCAGTATAATGGAGGATTCCACTATCTATTGCAAAAACTTTAGCAAAACAAATGACGTAGGATAGCGTGACTAGAGTAGGGAGGGAATCTTCTTTTTCCGTAAATAGGCAAGGCAATTTTATTTATGTAAGGGAAACTTCTGCAGCAATGGAGAGTCAGGACTCAGAGAGACACGAGGAGAGTTGGAGCTTTGATGTCAAACACTGATGTTTTATTACAAGTATCGGCCGGAGAAATTCACATCACAAGTCACAGCAGCCAGAGATTCCGACTGCACGGGTGCGTTGCCACATCAATTCTGCCCAGCCTCTCTCTCGATAGACCTTTTAACTAGTTTACAGAGAGTTCTGGGAACACTGGAGATAGCCCCAACATCTGGAGACACTCAATCACTTGTCTGACTCTTAGGCTTTGTGACCGAGAGTTGACCGATCATAGACTGAGAAATATCAACATATGACTGCATTAGCACAATCCTTACGGGAGATAACAGACTCAGGGTTGGTCGTAAACGTCAACAGATAGAAAGGTTAAATATCAAGAAGTAAGGAATAATTATTCTTTTTATCATTTATGATAACCTGAAAACATTAGTCTAATAATAATTTGGTCAATACTTAAATCATCTCTCATCAATGTTCGGATCATCTTTTGTTAAAAGCACAATAATGAACACATAAAACACAGATGCATAATAGCAAAAACATCTACTTTAAAATAATATATTTTAACATTTAACCATTAGTTAATCTCACTTATCAAACTATAAAATCAAAACCAGCTTGCAGTTTAAAGATTTACTTTAACCCTCCTGTTACATTCAGGGTCAAATTGACCCGTTTGAAAGTTTGAAAATCGACGAAAAATACTTTCAAGTATTTTTTTGTATGGGAACTTTTTCTGCTTACCTTAATTAGTGTAATAAACAAGTAAAATGAAAATGGTTCATGTCATGCATTTGGAACCCCCCCCTACATGTCTATATCACAGAGATGGTATTCGGGTCAATTTGACCACACACACACACACCAGTGAAAGTGGATGCTAAAAGGGGTCAGACACACACACACACACACACACACACACACACACACACACACACACCAGTGAAAGTGGAGGCTAGAAGGGGTCAGAGGGTTCAAAAGTGATACATTGTTATTTTTTACTCTCACACAAATACACACACAAATACACACTGCACCTGTTATGGCCCCTACACACGGCATATCTCTGGCGTTGACGCTTCAACGCTTCTGGGGGTGACGTCATGCTTCGCCGAACTGCATTGTGGGAGCAAAGCGTAGCTTTTCTCGCGGTGCTTGCTGCAAAAGTAGAGCAATGTTCTACTTTTGAAGCTTCGACGGAAGCGTCAGCCAATCGAATCATATGCCAGTACAAGCTCTAGCCAATCAAACTGCTGCTTGTGTGTCCGGGGCGGGAGATTCAGGTGATTGGTTGTTGGTCTAGCTGCAGACATGCCCGCCGGCAAGCGACAACGCACGCTGCCGTGTGTAGGGGGCGTTAGTTAAAGTGGGGGTCAGAGGGTTCAAGTCTCAAATGTGTAATGGGTAAGCTCCTCCCGCACTGGGATACATTATACTCTGCACTTAACGTACAGTATACTCACAATACTATCAGACAAAATGAGCAACGCAAGTGAAGAGAGGACAGCCCTGGGCTATATGGAATACATCCTTGAGGAGGATCACGACAGCGAGATAGAGGAGAACATTTCCGAGGATGAAGACTACCTTGAGGTAAACGATGAAGATTCTGATAATGATCAATCAGATGAGGAAACTGATATTCGCCCAGATGCGACATTCATGTCCAAAAATGGTGAAATTCAGTGGTTCTCATCCCCTAATGGGCGCCAGGCAACACTATCGGCAGCAAACATAATGAAGGCAGTGCCAGGGCCCACCAGGATGGCAGTCTCTCGTGTCACAGACATCAAGTCTGCTTTTGAGCTGGTAAATTCGAACACAGTGCTAAAGATCGTTCTGGATATGACCAATCTGGAAGGGAGACGTGTGTATGGGGAAGAGTGGAAGGAGCTGGACGAAATGCATTTACATGTGTATTTGGGTCTCCTCATCCTGGCTGGGGTCTACAAATCCAAGGATGAATCGACAGCCAGCCTGTGGGACGCAGACACAGGCAGGAATATATTTCGAGCCACAATGTCTCTGGGAACTTTCCACATTTTCTCAAGAGTGATCTGATTTGATAATCGTGACACAAGAGCTGGCAGACGTGAGAGAGACAATCTGGCAGCTATAAGGACAGTGTGGGACAAGTGGGTAGAGCGGCTTCCACTTCTCTACAACCCAGGACCTAATGTCACAGTGGATGAAAGGCTGGTGGCATTCAGAGGTCGTTGCCCGTTCAAGCAATACATGCCTTCGAAACCGGCAAAATATGGCTTGAAAATATGGGCAGCATGTGATGCAAACTCCAGCTATGCACTAAACCTGCAGGTTTACACTGGAAAGCCAGTTGAAGGAGCCCCAGAGAGGAATCAGGGCATGAGGGTTGTGCTCGACATGGCACAGGGTCTCAGGGGTCACAACATAACTTGTGACAATTTCTTCACGTCCTACAACCTGGGTCAGGAGCTCCTGAAGAGAAAGCTAACAATGGTTGGAACTGTACGAAAGAACAGAACGGAACTCCTTGCTGAAATGCTGGTGATCAAGAACAGGGTCCCTCAATCCTCCAAGTGTATGTTCACAGACACCACAACCCTACACTCACACACACACACACTCTTAATTGCTGTTACAATAAAATACTTTCAATACAAATCCTTATGACTCATTTGGCTTGATTCTAAGTGAACGGGTCAATTTGACCCTGAACAGAAGAGGTGTCTCGTCTCTATTTATTAACATCAACCAATTGTAAAACAAGTTGGAACATTTTAAAATAAATTTAAAACACGTTATGTTATACAAAACTAATGTATTTTATATCAAGGTTTTTCCAATGTAAAAAAGAAAATAGAAAAATGTGTTTGAATGTATATGTTTTGAGAAAAACTAGTGACTTATTCTAATGGAATCATGATCTGTGAGGGGTGAATAACACAATTGCACTAAATATTGATTTCATTGATAGTAATAAAAGGTACAAACTATGTAAAAAAATAATAATCTGGATTTTGGGGCTTCTGACCATTTTTGGATAATTAAACATGCACTGGGTCAAATTGACCCACGAATATTATTGCTGTTACAAAAAACGAATATAACAGGAGGGTTAAGGCAATCACTAGTCCAAAGCATTTTAAACTCAGGATCATAAGAGATCCAGCTAAGGTATACACTTCACAGTTGTGATTTGATCAATCTGTAATCTGCAAAATTGCAGTGTCTTCAATTTTAGGATTACTTTACGTTTACTTCATTACATATTAAATCAAAAGACTATGGCATGATAACATCATTACATTACTTCAACTATCAATCATTATGTCATTTCAAAATGTGAAGGGAAAAATCAAACAATTCTCACAATGTTTAACAATCTGAAAAGGAAAAGTTAGGCAAATATTCAAAGACGTTTGTAAAACCTGGAAATGAAGGATTACACATTCTTAAAACTTGAAACATGATTGTAGGTCTTGTTGGAGCACCACCCAATGGCGGTGGTGGAAGGTTCACCTCTGCTCTGCGCGTCCCTTGATGACTGAGCTGGTAACATTTATAAAAGAAGGAACTCAAAGCACCAGAATAAAGGTTAAACAATAATCTGTTTTAATGGTAAAAGCAACAATACACAATACAGAGCACTCCGGGCTCAATTCACATCACCGTGTGATATACGTACCACGACAGCCAGTCAGGAAAAGAGCCCCGAGCATGAGAATATCATAATATTTATACACACAAGTGGGGAGGAGTTGTGTTGGTTGCTCCTCCCTAACTATTTGTTATTGGCGATTTCACTTCTGGGCGAGGCCATTTTAATGGCCAAACTAACCTTAAAATAGGCATTTCCACCGAGAATAAAACGAAGTATGGCCATGTTTTTTTTTTCTGCATGGAGAAATTTGAAGATCACGTGACATAGACGCCAGCCATTGGAATTGAAATGGTGAACAAAAACGTAGAGATCTTACAATTTCAGAGGCGTTTTTGTAGAAATACTACGTCCCAAGTTGTGGACCAACGTAGTTATTACACGTTTTTTTGTGAGACTAGGTTGGCTGTTCTCAGTCCGAGTTAGTGTTGCACGGTGTACCGATACTTGAAAGGTACCGCGATACCCTGCCGTTAAAAACGTTACGATTCCTCCGTTTCATTAGTATCGGTACTTTAAGAATGACGGGGAAAAGTACTCCGGTGAGAAAGCGCCGTTTTAATAAGAGCCGTGTGTGGTTCAGCGCTCTGCTTCCACTCCCTGCACTGCAGCCGTGCCTGCAAGTCCCTCCCCTCTCAAGCACGCTTCTAAGTCCCTCCCCTCTCCAGCACGCTCCAAGTCCCTCCCCCTCTCAAGCACGCTCTAAGTCCCTCCCCTCTCAAGCACGCTCTAAGTCCCTCCCCTCTCAAGCACGCTCTAAGTGCCTCCCCTCTCCAGCACGCTCTAAGTCCCTCCCCTCTCATGCACGCTCTAAGTCCCTCCCCTCTCCAGCACGCTCCAAGTCCCTCCCCTCTCAAGCACGCACTAGCTGCCAGAGCATGTGAGAAAACGAGAAGCATGGCTGTGAGTGGGAGTGCAACTGCCGCTGCGCCTCGGCTTGTTGACAAAAAAGACGCCAGAAGCGAAATGTGGAAGTATTTGAGCGATATCTCTGACAGTGAGGGCAAGCCTACGGACACCACGAGGCCTGTCTGTCAGACATGTTTCAGATCCCTGCAAACCAAGGGAGCCAACACATCAGACTTGGCTTAGCACCTCGCCGACCGGCATCCAGAGCTGTTTAAAGAATTTAAAGACAGACAGGTTAGCGAATGTGATAGATAACATAATGACATCATGCTCAAGCTCAAGCCCTCAAATCTAAGTCAAACCAGTGTAATTTATTTTGTGACAAATGAACGTTTTTGTAGTTTGACGAGGCAATTAATGGCAATGATAACTGTCTAATATGGCTATCTTTTTATCTAACTTACCAATGTGGTTATGGTTCTGGTGTGAAATATAAAGCACAATAATTACATTTAAGACTTTCCCTTTTTTTAAGAAAAGTATCGAAAAATAATCGGAATCGCAATTCTTGACTTGGTATCGGTATCGAAACCAAAATGTTGGTATCGTGACAACACTAGTCCGAGTCGCCAGCCTGTGTAAGCAGGCCACAACACAAATGGGACGCTGCACTGGTAGAGAAACCTCTGGTCGTTGGGTGGCGCCAGAGAGCAAGACGGCAGGCGTGGAAACAGTGGCCTTGGATGACAACGCCGGAGAGGGGGGTGTGTCAACG